TTGACATAGCCAACAAAGAGGCAGGTGTAGCTAGGGCCCATGCAAGTGTCCGTGGCCACCCCCGAGTTTACAGAAAGTGAGAAGAATTGAAGGAAAAGTTATTGAGTGTGAGGTCTAATTCGGCGAGGCGGAGGAGGGTATTGTTGGAGGGGGGACTGGATGGGTCTGTTGGAGAGGAAAAAACTGAGGGCCCGCAGGCCATCCTTGTGGGGTATGGACGTGTATAGGGATTGCACGTCCATGATAAAGATGAAACACTGGCAGCCAGGGAACTGGAGGTTTCCGAAGAGGTGAAGGGCGTGGTTTGTGTCCCGGATCTATGTGGGGAGTGCCTAGACCAAGAGGGAAGAGAGTGGATTTGAGGTAGGAAGAGATGAGTTCAATGGGCAGCAGCATGTAGAGACGATGGGTTGGCTGGGGTAGTTGAGCTTGTGGATCTTGGGGAGCAGGTAGAACTGGGTAGTGTCAGTCTGGGGGACTATAGGGCTGGAGGTGGTGGAGGGGAGGTCACTGGAGGTGATGAGGTCAGGAACAGTGTGGGAGACAGTGGCTTGATGGGCTATGGTGGAGTTGTAGTCAAGGGAGAGGTAGGATGTGGTGTTGGAGAGTTGGCGTTCGGTCTGTGCGACATTGAGGTCCATCCTCCTGACTACCACCGCCCTGCCTTTGTCAGTGGGTTTGATAGTGAAACGGGGATTGGTGTGGAGAGAGTGGAGTGCTGCACGTGGGAGGGGATGAGGTTGGAGTGGGTGAGGGGAATGAAGAAATCGAGGCAGATGATATCACTTTGGCAGTTAGCAATAAAGAGGTCCGGGGCAGGTAAGAGGCCGTGAAGGGGTGTCCAAGAGGAGGAGGAAAGTTGGAGGCAGGAGAAGAATCCCTGGAAAGTGGTTAGGAGTCTTTATTGAAGAAGAAGGCATGGAGGCGAAGGCAGCGGGAGAAGAGTTCCACGTCGCAGCGGGCATGGAACTCGTTGGGGTGGAGGCAAAGGGGCACGAATGTGGGCCCTTTACTGAGGAAAGACCATTCGGCCTCAGAGAGTTTGAGGTTGGGGAGACAGTGAACATGTGGCAAGGTTCTTTGGTGGGCTTTTGAGGGATCTCGAAGAGGCTGAAGTAGAGGGGTGGGAAGGGCAATAGCATGTGATGGGTGAGGGTTGGACACGGTGTGGTGGGGGGGCGTATTTGTGGGAGGGAAAGGAGAGTGGGAGGGAGGATTGGATGGGTGTGGGAGAGATCCATCCAGGGCTTTAAACAGTCCTACCGGGTGAGACAGTTTCACCTGCACCTCCTCCAACCTAATCGATTGCATCCGGTGTTCCAGATGCGGTCTGCTCTATATCGATGAGACCAAATATAGACTAGGTGACCTATGGCCAGCCTATTCTCTCGGTCACTGCCCATTTCAAATCCACCCCCAACTCCCCATCTGACATGTCCCTTCTCGGCCTCCTCCAGTGTCGCAGCGAATCAGATCGGAAATTTGAGGAACAACACCTAATCTTCCGCTTGGGCACCCTACAGCCCGAAGGACTTAACATTGAGTTTTCTAATTTCAAATAACCTTCCCACTCATCCCCCAGCTCCCTTTCCAGCCCTGCCTCCTCCCTTCCATTCCAGCTACCAACCGATTCATCCCTCCCATCGACCAACCAGGTAGTACTTACTACCTGTGTCCACCTATCACTACCATTCTGCTACCTTCCCAACCCCTCCCTCTTTATCTGCACCTTCCCCAACTCCCACATCTAGTCCTGAACAAAGGCAATACCTGAAACATTGACTTCCCCTCCTCCAGACACTGCCTGGTTTGCTGCGTTTTTACAGCCTCCTGTTTGTCTACATTAGATTCCAGTTTTTTTGTCTCCTAACCCAATGTATGACTTCTTCTTTTTCCTGACAAGAGCCTCAATATCCCTCTCTTTTTTTCCCCTTCACCCTAACAGGGACATACTGTCCCTGGACTCTTGATATCACACTTTTAAGAGCTTCCATTTGCCATTTATTCCTTTTCCTTCAAACAGACTCACCCAATCAACCTCTGCTAGATCCTGCCTAATGGCCCCAAAATTGGTCCTGCTCCAGTTCAGCACCTTAACCTGTGAACCTGTCCTATCTTTTCCCATAACTATGTTAAAAATAAAAGCGTTATGGTCATTGGACCCAAAGTGCTCTCCAACTGACACTTGAGTCACTTGCCTGACCTCATTTCCTAAGAAGAGGTTCAGCGTTGCACCCTCCCAAGTAGGGCACTCTACATATTGATTTACGAAACTTTCTTGGACATATTTGACAAATCCCACCCCAACCAGGCCTTTTATGCTGTGAGTGACCATTTGTGTTGAGTGCCAGAGAACAAAGGAGTTCAAGTCTTCTGAGTTCCAATCGCCCATTTGCTGCTTGGAATGGCCGATCTGTTCATCAACATCTGGGATAACCTTCCATCCCAACTTTACTGCTTTCTGCTGAAAATTGTCCGAATACTCCATCATTGATCACTTTCTGCCTTGAATCTAATCAATGACTAAACAACCACAGCTCAGTCCCAAAAATAAATCATGAGTATGCAGCATAAATAGCTTGTGAGCCAAGTCCTGATCCTTCAGGTCCTGCAAAATACAACTGAGCAATCCAAAAATGCCCTGTTTATTCCTTATTACTGTTCTCCATCAGTTAAGCTGTCCTCATTCCATGTTAATATGTCATAGCAATCTCCAGGGAGGTCATGTCAGAGCTTTGGTTAGACCACAGCTGGACTACGGTGTACAGTTCTGGATCCCACACTATAGGAAGGATCTGATTGTATTGGAGGGGTTGTAGAGGAGACTCACCAGATGTTGCCTGGGATTGAGCATTTCAGTGATGAAGAGAGGTTGGATTAGCTTGGATTGTTTTCTTTGGAGCAGAGAAAGTTGAAGGGAACCTGACAGAGGTATATAAAAGATTATGAGGGGCATGGACAGGGTGAATAGAAAGCAACTGTTCCCCTTAGTCAAAGGGTCAGTAACAAGGGGACATCATTTTAAGGTGAAGAGCAGGAGATTTCAAAGGGCTCCTATCACCATTTGCCAAAAGTGGTGGTAGGAATCTGGAATGCACTGTCTGGGAGGGGAGCAGAGGAGAGAAACCACACAACCCTTAAAAAGCTTGTGGATGAGCACCTGAAGTGTCATAACATTCAAGGCTGCTGGTAAGTGGGCTTAATGTGTTTTTTTTTAAAATGGTGATAGATGAATTACAGATCCTATTCAGAATTCTGCAGATAACGCAAGGTTAGTAGAGCTGGATTTATCCAAGCAAGTGCAGTGCAGATTGTTACACTAATGTCTTGCAGAAAAAAAAAAGGCAAGATAGAATCAGGCTCTAAAGTTATTGATATTGAGTCCTGAAGGCTGCAGAGCTTCACTGGAGCACCACAGCAAGCCCAAGAGAGAGATGTTGGCCAGGGAACAGGGTGGTGAGTTGAAGTGAAAGGCAACCAGAAACTCAGGGTCATTTTTGTGGACACAACTTAGGCATTCCACAAAGTATTTGAAGAGGGTGCCACAGGGTCAAGCCTGTGGAACACGGTCCCACAGAAAGCAGTCGACGCCAAAACATTGGATCGCTTCAAGAAGGGGTTGGGTGTAGCACTTGTGGGCTAAAGGGAGAAAAGTGGGAACAAGATATTGAGTTGAGTGATCATAATGGACGGTTGGGAAGGCTCGAGGGCTGAATGGATGGCTTCTGTTCATCTTTTCTGTGTAATCATCTGTAAGCCATTATCTGAATCTGAATGTAGGAATGATTTTATGTCATGTATATCTGGGAAGACAGAGTGAAAAGAGTTCTGTCGTTAGAATCTCACGCCAGTTTTGAGTTACAATGAGAATAATAAGAAATTACTTTAAATAGAGTTCATTTTCTATTCAAATTGGGTCTCCAGCACAGCTCCAGGGCTTCTGTAAGGTCTCTGCAAGGTGATCCAGGCCTCAAGGAGTCTTGGCTCCGGGTACAGCAATGATGACGTTGATGCCCCAGGAGACCCCAGCTCTGCTGCTGCTATCACCTTGTCAACATCGCCAAGTGTGTCCAGGCTCTGGGCCTACTGCAGCCAGGAGTCCTTGCTCCAGGCACCATCACTGCCAAGAGTCCAGGCTCCAGGCCTAATGCAGCCAGGAGTCCACACTGCAAGCCTACCGTGCCAGTGCTGCTATCTTGAAAACAATGTAATGTGCTAACAACTCAGCGCTTATGGCTATTAGCAAGCTGCTGTGTTTGCTCTTTGTAAACTGGGTGAAGTTAAGAATGGTGACTCATTTTAAATGATGCCTGTTGATTCATAGGTTGTTGCCTCGCAGAGTGTATTGGCCCTGGCTGTAGACATTTGAATTTTTGATGTCAGGAATTCTATGTAGAGGTAGAAAGATGTTTCATCACTAATCTTCATATTTTATTAAAATCTGCGCTGGAGCTGGTTAAGTATTTCAAATTAATGTCAACAATTTCAGTGACGCCTGTAGTAGGCTGGGGGTGGCTCCAAGCCTACCACAGCCAGGAGTCTATGCTCTGAGCCGACCGCAGCAAGGATTCCAGGCTCTGGGCCTACCACAGCCTACAGTCCCCACTCCAGGCCTCACACAGCCAGAGTCCAGGCTCCGAGCCTACCGGAGCAAGGAATCCAGGTTCCAAGCCTCCCGCAGCCAGGAGTCCCTGCTCTGGGCACTGCCGCTGCCGCCAAGATACTGCAGTCGCTGTCTCGGCCTCAAAGATGGAAAACAAAAGAAAGAAAAAAGATGAAAAGGAGTGAGAGAAGCAGATGCTGCTGGCCTGGAGTGGACTGGCTCAGAAAGACTGAACACTCCTTATCGTGCCAACGCTGCTATCTTGAAAACAATATACTGCGGTAATGGCTACAAGCGGGCTGCTGTTTGCTCTTGTAAACTGGGCGGAGTTAAGAATGTTGACTCATTGTAAACGGTGCCTGTTGATTCATAGGTTGTCCCACCGCAGAATGTTTCGGCCCTGGCTGTAGATAGTGGGATTTTTGAGAAGGTCAGGAATTCTATGCAGAGGTGGAAAGGCATTTCACCACTAATCTTCAAATTTTATTAAAATCTTCACTGGAAGTAGTAAGTATTTCAAATTACCGTCAATTATTTCAGTGATACCTGCATGTTACTGTCTGGAAATTTAATTTGGAAAAATAAAATACAGTAAACAGCTATTACAACATGAAGAAGTGTGTTTCCAATTGAATTTTGTTTAAAGCAGGTGTCTCTCTCCCCCAGACTGGTCTTGCATAAAAAGGGTCTCTCCTTTCCTGCAAAATTTTTAAGGAGTAATTTTCCATCAGTGAATCTTTCTTAAAGAACTCTGTTGGAACTAAAAAGCACATTGAGAAAAACTGGCAGCAATCAGGAGGCATCTTTGGAGAGAAAGTGTCATATTTCAGGCCACTGTCACTTTGGATTTGATTAAAGGTGCTCTCTGTGTCGCAATTTCTCTCTGTCTATCTTTATACACTGCTCTATCCTTCCCTTTTCAGTTTTTGTCTATCTCCTTCCCTCTGTAACTCACTGCTTTCCTTAGCTGCCCAATAGCCTGTGGCAGTGCATCTCTGGGTCACGCACCTGCTCCTGGCCTTTCTTGCCCTCACTTTGTGATTCTTCTCTCCCTTTGTCAGTTCACCTACATTCTCTCCCTTTTTTTTAAAAATGAGATGGAACTGGTATTTGCTGTTATGTTATGTCATGTCATACACATCTGATGAATTTGTTTAATCTTGTGTTTTATCCCTCTCCTCGTTGTGTTGCAGTAAATCAACTCCTGAAAACGTTGCTATCGAAGTGTTACTCTGATTACTGAAAAGAAAACATTTCATAGCTCTATATCCCTTTTTTCTCTGTCTCTCTTCTCTTTCAGTCTCTCCAAATGCCCACTGGAACCTCTCCCCTCCTTGCAGTACTTTCACTCCTGCTATAAAGAAAAGTGAAATACTTTGGCTGTTGGAAGTCTGAAAGAAACACAGAATGCTAGGAAACTCAGAAGGTTTTATGGAGAAAGAAAGAGTTAAGGTTGCGAGTCTTTCATTCACAGCATGGGGGCAGCCTTGGCTAGGCCAGCATTTATTTTCCATCCCCAAATTGCCCAGAGGACAGTTAAGAATCAACAACATTGCTGTGGGTCTGGAGTCACATACAGGCTAATGCAGGTAAGGACAGCAGCTTTCTTCTATAAAAAAGGACATTAGGGAACCAGATGGATTTTCCTAACAATCGACAATAGATTCATTGTCATCATTAGACTCTGAATTCCAGATTTTATTTTTATTGAATTCATCTGCCATGGCAGGATTCAAACCCAACCCCTAGAACATTACCTAGGTAATGACCCCAATTGATTGGGTATGAGACTACAGGTCCTGATTGTTTGAGAGTGACATTTAGATCAGCTTTTGACATATCTATGAGCAAGCAATCAATTGTATTTGAGTAGCTGTCTTCTCCATTTCAGAGACCTTGGCTGTCGGTGTTGGGATAAATCCTGGTGCAATGGGTGAAGGTGGAAACGACATATTCCAAATGCCGACTCTCGGGAGACCTGTCCGAATAGGAATGCTGTACGATCGACGGACTGACACCTTCATTCCAGGTACCATGAGAACATACCAGATAAAATCCCAAAATATCCAGCAGCTAACGCAATCAGATTTAGAACACAGTGCTAATGTTATTGAAGATTAGCACCAGTATCAGCTGAACCACACGGAGAATGTGATCAGAACATGCTAATGCATATGTACCATGACCCAGATTAAAAATTCGACTACATAAAGCCCAAAAATTCCATGGTGCATACCCCAATATAATGTTATATATAAACCACAACACAATCAATGATATAAACATCAACATTATCCAGGGTTTTAGCTCATTATCATCTTTCATCTAATCACCATTTTAAGCAGGACATAGTCCAAGCATCATTGAATCCGAATCATACAGCGCATAAACAGACCCTTCGGTGCAACCAGTCCATGCCAAATATAATCTCAAACTAAACTGGTCCCATCTGCTTGCTTCTGGCCCGTATCCCTCCAAAACTTTCAAATTTATTTATTTATCCAAATGTGTATTAAACATTTTAACTATACGCGCATCCACCACTTTCTCAGGAAGTTCATTCCACATGCAAACCATCCTCTTAAAAAAAAACTGCCCTTATCTCTTTAAAATTTCTCTCCTGTTACCTTAAAAATGTGCCCTCTTGTCTTGAAATCCCCCATCCTAGTGAAAAGACACCTACCATTAACCCTATCTATACCACTCTTGATTTTATAAACCTCTACAAGATCACCTCTCAACCACCTATGTTCCAATGAAAAAAAGTCTCAGCCTATCCAGCCTCTCCCCATAACTTAAACTCTCCATTCCTGGCAACATGCTGGTAAATCTCTTCAGAACCCTCTCCAGCTTAATAATATCCTTCCTATAAGAGGGCAACTAGAACTGCACACAACACTCTAAAACAAGCCTCACTAATGTCCTACACAATATCAACATGACTACCAAACTTCTATATTCAAAGGACTGAGGAATGAATGGAAGCATGTAAAACAGCTTTTAACCACCCTGTCTATGTGATGCAAACTTCAAAAGAATTATGTATCTGAACCCCTAGGTCTCTCTGTTCTACAACACTACCCAAGGCCCTGCCATTAATTGTATAAGTTCTATCAGAGAGGATACAACTTTACTACGACCAGGACCATAAGATATGAAAAAGGAACAGGAGGCGGCCATTTGGCCCTTCAAGCCTGCTCCGCCATTTAATAGATCATAGCTAATCAACATTCCTCACACCAACTTTCCTGCCCTTTTCCCATAACCCTTGATTCACCAACTTATCAAGAATCTCTCTATCTCAGCCTTAAATATAAAGGACTTTGCCCTCACAGTTCTCTGTGGCAAGGAGTTCCAAAGGCTCACAGCCTGAGAGAAGAAATTCCTCATCTCTGGCACTCCTTTATTCTGACACCATGCCACTGACTTAACCTATCACTATCTCTCTAAACTGTTTTTATCCCTCTCTTAACATGGTTTTCTACCTATTTTTATGCTGTCTGCAAATTTGGCTGCAGTACTTTTGTTTCCTTCCTTCATGTCATTAACAGATATTGTAAACACATGCAGTCCGGAACTGGTTCCTATGGAAAACACTGGGCACAGCTTGCCAACCTGAAAAGGAACCCCTTATTCCCATTTACTATTTCCTGCCCATGAACCAATTCTCTATCCATGCCAATATATTGCATCCAACCCTATAGGCTCTTAACTTATGACTTAACCTTTGGCGAGGTACCTCACTGCACACCATCTGGAAGTCTGGAATGCACTGGAGAGGGTTCAGAGGAGAGACACCACGATGTTGCCTGAGATGAGGAGGCTCGGTGATGAGGAGAGACTGGATAGGCTGTGTTTGTTTTGCTGAGAGCAAAGGAGGCTGGGGGGGCACCTGATTGAGAGATACAAAATTCTGAGCGGCATAGACAGAGTAGATCGTGAGAATCTTTTCTCCACGACAGATGTTCTAAGACCAGTGGGCATTAAGAGTAGGTGGTTTCAAGGAGATCTGGCTGAAAAAAATTTCTGTCAGAACGTGGTAGAGATATGAAACGTGCTGTCTGAGGAGCTGGTAGAGGTAAATACTATCGCAACATTTAAAAAGCTTCTGGAATAACACTGCCAGGGCATAGTAGACCAAGTTCAGGTAAATGGGATCAGTGTAGATTGGTTTTTTTTCAGTCGGTATAGACATAGTGGGCCGAAGGGCCCGTTTCTAAGCTGTTTGACGCTGTATTATTTGCTCAACTTGCAAGTTAGGTTTTGTGTTCTTTGTGGTGAAGTCTCATATGAAGAAGAAAATATTCTCCTTGGTATCATCCCAAAACTATCTAGGGTATAAACACAAAATCATAAAGGGTATAGCGTCAATATCATTCATCATATAATATGTATCATCCAGGATTCAAAGCAAATGTTCAGGAATTATCCTGTGACCAAGCAAAATAAAAATGTCAATAGAGTTCGAGGTGTAACATCAAACTCACATTAATATCCAAATTCCTGCAGAAAATAAGTAGAATATCACAGAGACTCACACCACAATATAGCCCTGAAGGATTGCAGCAATATGTTCCAATGAAAGACACCAATAACTTTCAAATGTAAAGATAATATAGCACAGATAACCTCAATATCCTAAAAAGTATAAAAATCAATATCCTCCTGAAGAAATGCTCCTAATACCATTTAGGATCTAAACACATCATCACCTAAGGTTTCACATCAATAATGTCCAAGACAGAATGCCAATTTACCCAGGAAATCACTTAAGTGTATACCTGTGAGGAGCCATGATAACACTGAAGATGAAATGTAATAATCATGCTATAATTTAATCACAACATCAAAGAGAATATACCTCAATATCATTCAGTATTCAACAGCAATTTCAACCAAGATATAACACCAGTGTAATCAATAATATGACTCCAGAATCATTTACAGCAACATCCCACTATCGTCCAGGGGTATACTGCCAATATTAAACAGGTATAAATCCAACACTATAAAAAAGAAGGTCACACCAGCCATGATCTCATTGAACGGAGCAGACCTGATGTGCTGAATAGGCTACTTTTGCACTTGCGTTTTGTTGTCATAACCCGAGTGTCATTCGGAGTACAAATCCAGCATCACTCAGAGTAAACATCCAACATCCTCCAATATCTTACCCACCACATAACCCAGATTATAAACCAAGTTCCAAACTGGATAGGAATCTCAAAAAGTACAATCCCAACAAAATCAGTAAAGTCTCCAATTTCAGGCAGTACATAACTGAAACTGGTGTTACAGCTGCACCCATCAAGTAGGGAGTATTCCATCACACTCCTGACTTATGCCTTGTAGATGGTGAACAGGCTTTGGGGAGCCAGCAGGTGAGTAACATGCTGCGGTATTTCCAGCCTCTGACCTGCTCTTGTAGCCACTCTTGCAATTCAGCACATGTTGGACTCCAGTTTCACCAGAATGCAATTTGAGCAGCATCTGGGCCAAACCACCAATACTGCTCAGGTTACTAATCTCTAGGCTAAAATATAACTGCAGTTGTAGCCTAGAATATAACTTCAGTAGCATCCAAGTCTCACCCTAATATGATCCAGAACATAAAAGGACTGAAGGGCCTGTTTCCACACTGTAGGGGTTCTATGGATATGAAATAGATATAGGTAGCTCCCTTTCAGAGTCCGCTTGCAAGTCAGTTTGTATACCAAGCAGAACACAATGCAGAAAAATGGAAAGCAGCTGTTTGTAAGTACTAGGAAAATTCTCATGTCAGGTTTTTAAAATTACACCCCGTTATGGAATTGATTTCTCATTAAGGTTGTAAACTGAAATAATTCTTGAGGAGTCAATCCCAAAAGTGATCCATGACAGGCCACGACTTAAATAGCGACAGGATTTAAAATAATCATGAGGCTACATTGTTCGAGATGTATTTCAGATTATTCATTCAGCGCATAGTTGGATTATGTCGAGGATTTTAATCTATAATCACGGGAGCACCATTGATACGATGAGAGACAGAAACTGAATTTGATCTCGTACAAAAACCATTAGGTACCAAAGGAAGATTTTGAAATCATAAAATGACATGACAATGTCCAATATCATTCTGGATATTATCCCAAAATATTACACAAAACACTCAGAAAATATATGAGATACAACCACAATATCATCCAACCATGACCAGATCATTACATAGGGTAAGACACAACATTGGCTAATGTATAAACCCTAAAAACACCACAATATAAATTCCAATCTCATGGACAGTATATAAACCCTGAAAACACGCAGGTTACAAACTCTCATCTTATCCAATATAAAAGCCCTGGAAACATCCAAGATGCAATCGCCAATTTGATTCAATATGTAATGCATCAAACACTCAGGATATAAACCCCAAACTCATCCAAAATATAAACCCTGTAAGCACTCTGTAAACACTCCAAACTCGTGGACAATATAATGTCCATATCATTGTGAAGTTATTTTCCATATCCCCAATGTATGCAAAGATCGAATTAATCCTGGATAAGGTCCTAACATCATCCAGGGGAAAAAGAAACATGTTATCCCAGTTTCATCCAGCATTGATCACAAAAAAAACCCTCAAAACTGTAATATGGTTGTTATCTGCATTATAAAAATATCATTAACTATAAAAACAGTACCGGTCAGGGCAGAACTCTGATACTTATCCTCCATCAGTCTAATGCTTCCACTATACTGTGCACTCGATGTGAAGTGGATCATTATGAATGTTACTTCAACACCGCCCTTTTGACAATGCAACAATCCTTCAGTATTGTCCTTCCATCAGTGCAGCTCAGAGGAGCATTCATCCCTTACTCAGTAAACTCATGTTTTGTATGGGATCAAATTACATTTCTGTCTTTCATCATATCGAAGGTGCTCCCAGTATTATAGTTGCCCTAACAGATCATAGAGAGACATGACTAGTGGTGGTTTGAACTGAGAGTCAGCAGACCTCAGGGGAGGGGTGAAGGAGAGTCCTTCATGGTAACCTCAGCCAGTGCAGGAATTGAACTAGTGCTTTTGGCATTACACTGCATTGGAAATCTGCCATTCGGCCAACTGAGCTAACCAATCCTCACGTAAACCTGTGCATCTAACAACACAACTCTTCTTCAGAACTGGTTCACAATACAAGCTTTTTCATTCTGTTTTGGTAGGTGTCACTTTATGGGATTTGAATGCCCTCAAAACGAACCTTGATGTGCAATTGAAACCCAGCGCAGAGTACAATATCATTAGCTCCGATGGGGCATCCTCTTTCGACGTAGAAGCCTCCCTGAAGGCGAGCTTTCTTGGGGGGCTGGTTGAGGTGAGTGGCTCAGCCAAGTATCTGAACAACAAGAAAACCTCAAGGCAACAATCCCGGGTTACCCTCCACTACCGAGCTACCACCCGGTTTGAGGAGCTTACCATGAGCCAACTGGGACCTGAGCACATCACCTATCCTTCCGTCTTCAAGCAGGGCTCAGCCACTCATGTTGTCACGGGTGTGTTGTATGGAGCTCAGGCCTTCTTTGTGTTTGACCAGGATCATTCCTCCACTGACAACGAACACGACATTCAGGGAAATCTGCAGGTAATGATCAGGAAGATCCCCACATTCCAAATTAAGGGAAAGGGGTCAGTTGACATGTCAGACGATGACAAGAAACGTGTGGAGAAATTCTGCTGCACCTTTCATGGAGACATCTTCCTTGACAGGAACCCAGTGAACTACCAGGAGGCTGTTGAAGTTTACTCAACGCTGCCTAAGCTGCTGGGTGATCACAGAGAGAATGCAGTGCCTTTGAGAGTCTGGTTGCACCCTCTGAAGATGCTGGACTTGAAAGCTGCTCAGCTTGCCCGGGAGGTCAGTGTCGGTCTGGTCAATCAGTGCCAGTGGGTAATCGATCAATTCCATGACATCGAGATGAGGTGCAATGATCTGATCAAAAGCCCAGCTGCAAGGGCCTTCTCAGAGATCAAGGACAAGGTTCAAACCTTCAGGAGAATGGTCCTGGAATTCCAGACCATCTTCCAGAAACGGCTGGCGCAAACACTGCTCTCCATCCGCGGAAAGGGACAGGATGAAAGGATCCTGGTGGAAATGTTGGAAGGCACTGAACGATCTCCATTCCGTTACTGCCGGCTAGACTCGTGGCTCCAAAAGAGGGAGAAGGAGGGGAGCACAGTGGATGGATACCTGGCCATGTTGGAAGGAGTGGACATTCTGAGCAAGAGCCAGTTGGTCAGAGCCCTGGCGGATCCAATGACTGAGCACATCGTCTGCTTCACATTCACCTCACTGGGAACTGAGGACAATTATTTACAGGAGCTCTCCAAATGTCTCCAGACTGAATGGAATTTGGCTGAACCAAATGGCACATTGGCGGATGAGGCTGGCCCATTCGGGGAAGTGTGGTTCGATGTGGCACCAGTGCTGACACAAATGAGAAAATGGGCACAACTGTTCCTCCAGATTGTGGAGTCAAATAAATACAGCCATGGAACCAAGGGCAGAGAAAGCACCAAGATCTCAATAGCTTCAGTCGAAGACAAAACGTGCGCCGGAGCATCGCTTTTCCTGTATGTCCAAGGAATACTGGTGAATAATCAAGTGACACTCCTAAAACCAGACATCCCGTCGATCAGATGTGTAACCGATTCCAGTGTAACACTGCACCTCAAAGCCCCAGCTAACAACATTGGCCCAGTTCTCTTGTTCAAGGTTGGCTATCGGCCTGTCGAAGACCACGACTGGTACTGGGCAGATGCAGAGGGTGGCGTTGAGACATTTACAGTAGCTGGATTACAGCCACATAAGGAATACTCATTCAAGTACTTTCCTGTGTATACGCCATGTGTAGGATTGCTCAGTGATCCCACCACTGGCATCCTTACACTTTCTGCCTCTCCGCCCACCCAGGTTACAGTCTCCGGTGTCCAGAACACGTCAGTGACCATCAGCTGGGTTACCCCTGCTCTGGTTGGTGCTGGTGTCAATATTGGCCATTATGTGGTGGAGTATCTGGAAAGCCAGAGCCAGGAAGGTGATTGGAGAGAGCAAAGGACGGAGGGTTTGACCTGCATGTGCACTCTGGCCAATTTGTGCGGTGCCACCTCTTACAGAGTGCGGGTGTCAGCAGATTGCGGCACAGCCGGTCTTGGTGCTCTCAGTCGCGAGGTGGTGGCAGTGACCACCCGGGAGAGAAGCTGGGCTGAGTTGGCAGAATGTCTGGAGGGATAACCACTTGGTGAAGAGTGCCACTGCATACCTGCACACCCTACAGGAAGAGAATGGTATTAGAACAGAAAGGATCCCTATGTTCGTGTCCTGAGTGGTTCAGGCAATGGACTGGGAAATCTCTCCACACAGGTTCAAACCTCACCAACTAGATCTCTCATCTTCCCTCACCGAGAGCCCTTGTAGCACAGTGACAGCATCCCTACCTCTGAGCCAGGAGGCCCAGGTTTAAATCCCACTTGCTCCAGTATCATAACAGGTTAATCCGAAAATATCTAGGACAGCAAGTAGCTGGTGCAATTTTCTCATGGGGGAGGCAGGAATCAGGAAATAAAACTGAAAAACAAAACACAATCTGTTTCACGGTTTCAGTATTTACATCCCGTGCGGGGTGTGGTCAGGTCAGTTTCAAATATCCTGGAGTGTGAGCAGCTGAGGAGGAGAAAGGGACCATTGTATTTGGGACACAATTTGAATTTTAAGGATCTTCTGCATCAGTCATTGGCAAGAGAATTTCCAGGTCCCATACTCTCTCACCCCTGTTACTTCCAGACCAATCTGCTGTGGTGCTCCAAAGGATCTGACTTGTAGCCTCACATTTATTTCATTTCATGCATGTTGTCATTCAACCTTCAGTTGTTTCTTTGCAGTCACATCTTCAAATCAAAGTCCCTGGAATGCAGATAGTGGCCATTTGGCCCATCAAGTCTGCACCGACCCTCTGAAGTGTCCCACCCAATCCCTGTACTTGGGCAGGTGATGGCCTAGTGGTATTATCGCTAGACTATTAATCCAGAGACCCAGGAAATGTTCTGGGGGTCTGGGTTCAAATCCCGCTGTGACAGATGGTGGAATTTGAATTCCTTAAGAATCTAATGATGACTATGAAACCATTGTTGATTGTCAGGAAAAACCCACCTGGTTCACTAACATCCTTTAGGGAAGGAAATCTGCCATCCTGACCTGGTCTGGCCTACATGTGACTCCAGACCCACAGTACTGTGGTTGACTCTTAATTGCCCTCTGGCATTTAGGGACAGGCAATAAATGCTGGTCCAGCCAGCGATGCCCACATCCCATGAATGAATGAATTAAAAAAAAATCTTTCCATGGCCACTCTACCTAGTTTGCACATCCTTAGGCTGTGGGAGGAAACCCATGCAGACACAGGGAGAATGTGCAAACTCCACACAGTCACCTGAGGCTGGAATTGAACTGAGGTCCTTGGTGCTGAGGCAGCAGTGCTAACCACAGAGTCACTGTGCCATCACAGCAAATGACAACATCGAAAGATACATCATGGTATCAAATGGAACAGGAATGCAGAAATGGTCAAATAAAGAAGACATTGATGATGTTCGATTTGGGGCATTTTCTCTCTCCGAGTTGTAAATCCAGATCTAAAAGTAAAACACTGTTGACGCTAGAGATCTGAAACAGGAAGGGAAAATGAAGGAGAAATTCAGCAAGTCTGGTGGCGTCTGTGGAAAGAGAGAGAGAGAGATACAAGGTTAATGTTTTGAGTCTCGTCTGACTCTTCCTGGGAACCAAAAGGAACTGGCATACAGGTTTTTAAAAAAATTAATGCTGTTGACAGAGGGGTGGAAGAAGGGGAACAGATTGTGAGGGCTCCCACAGCAAAAGACAAAGGGGAGGGATGGTGGAGCGAAAAGATGATGGAGATGTGAAATGGACACAACCAAAGCTGTGAAAAGGATAAAGTGAATCTGACAAGAGGGGAGGTTGGGAGATGCGGGAAGAATGGAAGCTGGACATCATTCTCTGAAGTCATGGAATTAGACATTGAGTTTGAGAAACCTTGTTAAAAATTAAGCTGTTTTTCCACCAGTTTGCATTAGGTTCGCTGGAAGATGGCAATACGTTTGGGGGCAGAGGGGGGTTTCTTTTATTCATTCAAAGGATGTGGGTGTCAGTTGCTAGGCCAGCATTTATTGCCCAGAAGAGTCAACCACATGGCAGTGGGTCTGGAGTCATGTGTGGGCCAGACCAGGCAAGGACGGTAGTTTCCTTCCCTAAAGGACATTAGTGAATTAGATGGTAGGAGGCCAAGGCCGGAAATTTTCACGTGGGAGTCAAGAAGGTTTACAGAGAGGGCAAGCAACTGGAAGGATGGGATGCTTCCTATGGACAAAGCAGTGGCAGATCATTTTACTCTGCAGAGGTGTTCCATAAAGTGTTCGCCCAGTCTGCATTCAGTCTCACCGGCGTAATCGAAACCACACTGTGAGCAGCGAATGTTGTGGACTTGTTTGATTCACCTGGAAGTGAGCAGAGCCTTGGACGGTGAGAAGGGAGATGGTGAACGGACAAGTGTTACACCTTGTGCGACTGCATGGGAAACTACCGTGGGGCAGAGAGGAGGAGTTAGGGCAAGTGGATGATAGGACCAGGGCGTCTCTGAGGTAACAGTCTCTACAGCCGGGACTGGGGAGATTTTAAAACTGGTAATTGGTCTCATCCCATGTCCAACCCTCCTTCTCATCCCTACCTCCTTGACATGACACAACCTGTCCAACTTCTCTCCCACCTATTTGCCCTACCCATCCCAGTGACCAATTCCCACCACTCCCTACCTGCACTCACCTAATCACCATCCCACCTACTTCCCCAGCCCTACCCCTCCTCTATTTATTTCTGAGCTCCCTTCCCCCTCCCCATTTCTGAAGAAAGGGTCCTCACCCAAAATATCAACTTTCCTGCTCCTCTGATGCTGCCTGGCCTGCTGCGCTCCTTCTGCTCCACACTGTATTGTCTCATTCAAATTGTTCCTTATTTTTCATCATGATTGTTACCTGAGAATTCCAGTGTGGAACCAGGAAAGTAATTTATCTGCATTCCTGAAATTTTCCCCTCTGTTAGTTCCCATTTCGTATTTTAACATCGATTCCTCAACAGGGATTCCATTAATACTCAAAAAGTCTGATACTGATCACACTGGGAATCTCCAATAATCACAGAAGCTCCTGCAAACAGTCAGCAGGTCTGGCAGCTTCTGTAGAGATAGCAACAGAGGATTAACGTCTCAGCTCTATGAAAGGTTCAGATAAACCTGAGCCTCTAAACACTCAAAGCTCCTGAGTTTTTCATTTTTACATAATGCTTTCTGTATAATTGGCTCTGCTATAATGCATGTTCCATCAATGCAAATTGGCTGTAATGCAATTGACAAATAAGAGAACAATATTTCTAAAGTGCAACCTTGTGTTGGCTATAACGTGATACCATCGGTGTGCGGAGGAGTCATCAATTCACTGGGTTTGTCGTGAACACATTTGGTGTTAGCGCTGAGTCTCTGTGCTGGCATCATGTGGTCATTTCACAGGCTCTGTCGTGAAGTGCTTTCTGTGAGAGGTACAGTATAACCTCCTCCCTCATCAAGTCATCTTGACATTTTTTCAAGGTAAAAAGTGTTAAACTTACTTTTATTTCATTATTAGATAGGAATTAAACATTTCTTGAAATTGTGGTATCCTTTGTGTTAGGCTTTTGAGTGTTTTTTTTGGTGGTCTGCCCCTAACCCCACTTTTCCTTTGGGCCCCGTTATTTCTATAGCTCGATTTTCTATCACGGGATGTTGCACAGGAACACAACTATTGCGTTATAGCAGAACCGACTGTATTTCACATCTTGCAAACTCACTATTTTTTTTTGTGAAATGCTGCTCAATCTCATAAAATGTCACTTGACCAGTTCACAAAGGTCCAAATACTCTTCCTTATTATATAGAACTGGTTGTTTCATTTTTCAACCTAAAAGTGCACCAATCTGAGTGTGGAGAGTACAAACAGAATCTGTATGCTCACATGTGCTGCTTCATTAACCCACATTTCTGTGGGTTGGTTGCAGTTCCTGCTTGAGGCCAGTTCTGGTCAATAACCTGCAGAACACCGAAGTTCCCGGATCAGAGAGACAGAGACAACAGAAAATAATTATTGTTCTTGTGTTGGACAGTGTGAGGGAGAAATAATAAGGTGGAGACCAGCTGTGATCACATTTCAATCGATGGGAAAATAACTGGTTGTAACTATGAGACAATACAAATGAGCATTTTAAGAGTGACTATAATCAAGGAAAGCCAGTGTGGATTTCCAA